CTGCTGGGAATTGGGGATATAGAAGGAGGGGTTTCAAAGTCTCATTCCCTAATTTTATGAATAACATAGATGTTATGCAATTAAATGAAACACATTTTACATAAATATACCAAACTTGATTATACTGATAATATATTAGAAGACTCTTTAATATGATATCATGAAAAAACTTAAATTTACCATTAGGTAGAAACTGGAGCTTAAAAACAGAACCTTTGAGACAGTTCTCCCTTGCTTTCAATGAACCACCTATATAAATTTGTTTTTTCTAATATGTTACATTAGAAAGGACTCCTGGGACCAGCAGTTAGCATAATGGCTATGTCGCTGGACTCCCATGTAGTCGACCGCAGTTCAAGTCCCGGACCCAGCAGCTTAAACTCACGCTGGATGCGTGTACGTGCATGCCCAAGATCCCAAGAGGAGAATGGAGGAGAAGGGATTGCAGCGTGGCCATCTCCCTGGGGGATGATTTCTCGCTTTCTGTCTCTCTGTCTCTCTCTGTCTGTCTGGCGAGCGCACGCACCCTATAGCGAAAAACCTCTCCAAAAAAAAAAAAAAGAAAGGAATCCCACAGGACCATAGTCCGAACTAAGGGCCAGCATAGTGGCAAGTACTTGCAAATCACAGCAATTTAGGGAAGTTGAGGCAGGAGTATTATGACACAGCATGATCCTATCAAAAATGCCTATCCTGGGCTGGCTCACTGACCTCCAGGTCAGGGAAGCCAGATCCCACAAGGTCTACTGCATGGTTTGAATCCTGGCCCTGGCAGCTTGAAAACATGCCAGGTATGTGTGCAAGTGTGCCCCAAGTTCTGACAGGATGGAGATATGGAAGAGAAGGGATTGTGCCCTGACTACCCTCTATTGGGGGGGGGGGCTGTCTCCCTATTTTCTCTGTCTCTCTCTGGCAAGCACACATTCCCTCTGGCAACACACACACACACACACACACACATGCATACACATACATACATATATTTCTATATATGATCTTTTCTCTCTCTCTCCTCTTGCTTTTTCATACAAAGGGGAATTTTCAAAAGAAGTAATTCCAGAAAGACAATATAGGAGAATAATATAGAGTTTAGAACTATTTTTGCTTAGTGTATTACTAAAATTTTTATTTTCATTTCTACTTTGCTCAAGAAGCCGTCACTACAATAGAACCAACTTACTCTTAGTAAATGAGGCTTGGAAGCCTGTGCCACTGCCAGAGCCATCTGAGACAAATTTGATCCACAGGATATGTCCAACAATGGATGAGTAGTTGAGAGGGAGGAAGTTTCCACAGTATCGGCCCACCAAGTGGCCTGTGGCATTTCCTTCCCGAATCTCCACAAAATCTTTGCTACAGTCCTGAGAGTCCTCCAGCTGGAAAGATCTGATTGTGAAGAAAGATGTTTACAGTGATTATACTGATAGAATAAACTTTTGCTTATCCTGAATCACATGCTGAGTTAATCTGTTCACTTTTTAAAAACGTCCTTTAACTTTAACCACAAGAGCAATCAGCCATGTCAAAAATGTTCTTTCACTCAGATTTGTTGAAGTTGAAATGACCATTCAAGAGATACAAAGACAATTAGTATACTTCCTACAAGGAGGCCTAGAATTGATAGGTCTCCACCAGAAGAACAGGGAGTCTAGAGTGTCCAGGATCTGTCCCATCAAGATGGGTCACTACAGGATAGACAGCTTAGACTATATTCTAGACCTAGTTTTAGCAGCAAGCTACGACTGATGGTTGAGAAGACGATGACATCAGGAAATATCCACATGTGGCAAAGGAAACTAAACTTTTGTCTTTAGTCCCATCATGTCTCTTGGTAATTTAAGGTTTTATAATATAAGTTTATATCGACACTCATTTTGGGCATAGAAATGCTCTGAATCGATCTTTTAGGATGGTTGCCAACTTCGGCGCTTAAATTCAGGCTCAGTTTCATTATCTACAATCTTGTCAACACTGTGAAATATGCTGAAATTGTTTTCTTCTGCTTCTCACAAAGCAGAAAGGGAAGGAAGGAAGATCATTTTCCTCAGAAGGCGATTTACATGAAATTGCCTCTAAAACCTTTCTACTGAAGTGCAATAGTTCACCGCTAGCAGTATCAGCATCACCAGAGAGCTTGTTTGCAATAAATAATCAGGCCCTACCAACTAGATCAGAATGTACATTTTAGCAAGATCCCAGGTGATCAATGTGTGTGTTAAAGTTGGTCCAGAAGATTACAAAGTGAAGGGTTTATCAAGTACCAGGCTAGTAGAGTCCAGTTCTAGTTAGTACGTAAGACATTTCATTAGAAATGATGGTGGAGCAATACCTCTAAGAATCAAATTAAGGGCTGGACCTGTGGCCTACTGGTTAACAGAGCCAGAACCCACATGGCTGACCACATGGTTTATATCCTGGCCCCAGTGGCTTGAAAACTATGCCAGATATGTACGTGTATGGCTAAAATCCTGACAGGACACAAAAATAGAGAAGGGATTGCAGTGTGACCACACCCCACGTGGGGGCGGAGCGTTCTCACTCTCGTGGTCTGTCTGTCTCTGAAGAGCACATGCACCCTTTGGCAAATTGGGAAAAAAAAAAAAAGAATCAAATCGAACTTTTTAAAAAGCTTGCTCTTGGAATTCTTAGTTTTAAACTTGTACATTTTTTATAAGTAAATCTACACTTCGACTAAGATCTCTTAGTAAAATGTGATCTGGAACAAAAATAGTACAATCACTGTTTCTAATTATTTCATTTTGATTCTTGAACCAAAACCAATCTCTTTCTAAAAGCACCGAGACGTATAAAATGCAATTTTTGTTAATTCCTTTAAGTACTAGTTTTACAAAAATAAACTCCTTTTTTTATTTTTTGGTTTGTGTCTCCCCCTTTATTTTTATTGCAGATTCAACCATAATTTCTTCGGTTTTTCTTCCTGCTCAATTTCACCACAGTGTCTGCAATCCAAACCCCACACTTTAAAACTTGATGTGATTCATATGCTTCTCATATGCTTCTCACACACCCCAGGGAAATGTTTCTGAGCATCCATCTGGATACAGTTTAGAACAGGGCAGAAACAACTCACAGGCTTTGCCATAAAGCCCTTCTCATTATCATCTACATAAAAAGAAGCATATTGTATTCTGTAAAATTCATTTTAAAAATAAAACTCAAACAAGTAACACAAAATAAACAAAATTATTTCTTTTTCTTTTTTTTTTAAGAACTATTTATTCATTCATTTATTTTAATTTGACCAGAGACACAGACAGAGAGGGAACATGAGAAAGCAAGCCACCATGTCCGGGACTCAAACCATAGTCAGCCATATGGGAGTGTCCATCGCCTTAACCACCATACTGCCTGCTGGTCCCCAAAATTATTTTCTTATGGGTAACAATAAAACATCTAAGTCATTAAGATTTTTCTATACACTAATTAGGAGTTAATGTCCATTAAACAGGAAAATGGCTGAAACTTGCTTTCTGCATTTGTAATCTCCTCTAGAAAGAGAGCTCAGTGTTGTCCATTCAGATTTAGTTTTGAACTAGCAGAGGATGTTTAGAAATGGCAGATTGAAAGATTTAACATTCACTGAACATTCGTTATATACCATTTGTGTTATATATTATATTTAACATGTTCTTTAATACCAGATGTGGTCTGATAAATTCACTATTGTTTTTCCAAACAGATGAAAGGAATCTTTTTAAGTTTTAATTAAATAGCTTCTCAATGCTGATAAATTAATAATTTGCCAAAAACTGGGGGACTAGCAGGTGGCATGGTGGTTGTTAAAACACTGGACATTCTCTACGGCCTACTATGGTTCAAGTCCTGCACCTGGTGCTTGCTTTCCCACTGTCTCTCTCTCTCTCTGTGTGTGTGTGTGTGTGTGTATGTGTCTCTCTCTGGTCAAATTAAAATGATGAATGAACAAATAAAATAAAATAAATAGTTCTTCAAAAAAAATAGAAAGGATTCTATCTCATGTTAAGTGTTCTTACCACAGTAAAATAAAATGTATTTTTTTAAAAAAACTGGAATTCTGTCTTTATTAAAAATTTGCAGTATCTAGCCCTGTCCCTTACAACCACTGAATGTCAAAATGGTCAACAATGTGAATATGGTAGAGAACAAGAAGAAAAACATCAAAAGGGAAGCCATTTCATTTGGCAATTCTAAGGCCCAGTAAGTTATGAGAAGGACCTTGGACTTTATCATAAAAGCAATGGATATATTTCATTATATAGAAAACGTCTAGCATGAGAATTGCATGCACTGACTATGTGCTTAGTGCACAGTAGAGGCTTACTAGGAATTTATCGGATAAAGAAATAAATACATTTCACCCCATATAGAACTTTGTGCTTTTAGTAAATACAGAGATAAATTAAAACCTCCTTCCCAAATGCTGCTTAAATTTGCATTGCCTTCCAGGCATGCCAAGAGTGACTTTGTCTTAACTGCAACACCACTTGCTTCCTGAAAAGGCACTGATTTTGGATTAAAAAAAGCAGTTTAAGATGTCTGAACTTGGTCCACAAATAGAATTGTTTTCTCATACTTTTAATCAGCTCTTATGCACAGAATGGCATGGCTAGGAGAAGGGAGAGTTCTGAATAAATAGGTCACCTTCTCTAATAATCGTCTTCTCTCAAAAATAAGTTTATTTTTCTTCAAAACAGAATTACCAATATAAACTCTACCTAATAATATTTAATAAGATAAATCATTTTCATTCAGAATGGCAGTTTAAATATCAAAATCTAGGGCCAATAGCTGGGGCAGTGGTTGTGTTGCTGGATTTCCACATGGCCAACTGTGATTTTAGTCCCAGACCCGGTGGCTTGAAACTCACACTGGGCATGTGCGTGTGGGCCCAAGATCCTGAAAGGAGAAAGGAGGAGAAGAGCTTGTGGCATGGTCATCCCCCCTTGTGGGTGATTTCTCACTTTCTCTCTCACTGTCTCGGTCTCTCTCTCTTTTAGGTGAGAGCATGCACCCTAAGGCAAAAACCTCTTTTAAAAAAGCAAAAACAAAATCTCCCACCCAGTATTTGTTGGACGTCCATTACCAGAGTGGCAGGTCACAGGTACCTCTCTAGTTGTTGATTCAAGTGTCCTGTTTTACTTATCAGACGCTTACTACTATCTACTTCTGAGAAATGCCGTTACTGCTGTCCAGTGTAATCTAAGACCAGTGAGAATATAGCAAGGTCCTACTGTTAACTCCATGTTCATAGTCCATATTCAAAAAGTCTGACAGTTCAATGAGAAGCAAAGTTTTAAAAGAAACTTCCAGAAACATCTGATGGGGGTACAGGAAAGGTGAATTGGATGTTGATAAGTGAGGTAGGAAGAAAGAACATCTGTAATTCTCTGGGAGAATTAAACATTACTAATTCTTAGAAATGAGAACACTGCTGTTCTCTGAATAAATAGGCCATGTTCTCTAATAATCATCTTCTCTCAAAAATAAGTTTGTTTATTTTTCTTCAAAACAGAATTACCAATACAAGCCTTACCTAATAATATTTAGTAAGGTAAATAATTTTCATTCAGAATGGCAGTTTAAATACCAAAATCTGGTGGTAAATGCCACCAATTTATTTACCCAGAGTTTGATAATGTCCTTTTGGTAACGGTAGGCAGGACTCCAGAACTATTCTTAAGGGAATCTTAATGCTCTTGGTAACCCAAACTAGGACTGAAACAGAGGAAAGCTGGAAGCAGACTTCCCTAAGGTTCCCACTACATCCTCTTCAACAGTTGTTTGGACACACATGCTATTAGTCGTCCATCCTATTAGTAACAGGCTTCCTTCCTGCAGATTCAATAGCACTGAAACAATACACCATATAAAAGGATTTACATAAAAGACAGCTGGAGTCGGTTGCCAGGGGAACTGATAATGTTCCAGACACATTCCACATTAGGGGGATAAACTTCTGGATAGCCAGGGCTGTTGAAGATGCCTTCACCCATATGGAAGGTTCCACCACAAGCTGGAAGAAAAGACAAAACAAGTATCAGACCAAAGACTGAATGCTAGACATAGAAGATAGAGAAGAGAGATAACTAGAGCCATTATCAGCCTCGAAGAATATCATATTTCCATCTCACATCAAAAACAATTATGTCAGGAACCAGCAGTTAGCGTAATGGCTATTTCGCTGGACTCCCATGTAGTTGACCGCGGTTCGTGTCCCGGACCCGGTGACTTAAAACTCACGCTGGGCGCGTGTGCATGTGTGCCCAAGATCCTGAGAGGAGAATGGAGGAGAAGGGATTGTGGTGTGATCATCCTCCCTGGGGGGTGATTTCTCGTTTTCTGTCTCTCTGTCTCTCTCTGTCTGTCTGGCGAGCGCTTGCGCCCTATAGAGAAAAAAAACCTCTCCAAAAACAATTATGTCATATGTAATAAGAAAAAGATTCTACAAACCAAAAACCAAGAACCATGCAATGTGTGAATCAGAAGCAACCTGCAGTCTTTTCTAAACAGCTTTTTTCCCTGTGAACTCTAACTTTGAGTTTAAAAGATTTGTTTTTATCCAACAACCACTTGGTATTTCTGACTAGGATTATTGCCAACCCCAGCCTAGAACAGAGGGCAGTGCTCCAGCTTTTTCTTCTCAGAACATTGATAAACACCTGTCTTCTGGGTGTTTTACAGCTGTTAGCTGCTAACAAGGAGGAAGCCAGCTCAGGCACATGGCCCTCTCCCAGCTAAGAAGCCCAGTACCGGGTGGCTCCTCAGTCCTTTCCTCACACGTGTTGCCAACCACCCTGCCTTCCCTGTCAACAGCAGACCCTGCCTGAGCTCAGCAGCAAGACCCAGGAAACAGGAGGGCGGCTGTGTGGTTCTTCACCCGTAAGAGGTGCCGTTGACGCTGCCTAACGAACAGGTCATAAAGGAGAAACTAAGACATTGGCAAACAAGTCATCCAAGATCATGGAGTTTAGCTGAAAAGACAGCCAGGTTCCCAACCAAATCACCCTACTTCTAGAGTTTGCTATTGTTATAATGAACCCATTTGCCTACCTGGGAAGAAGGTAAGGTTAGGCTTAGAGATAGTCTTGGGAAAATAGCTCCCAACTTGGAAGGAAAAAGAGTCCCAAATTACAGACTGAGGATTTCTTCCACATGCTGTTTACCTAGCAGGGCCATATGCTAAGGTTCTTACCTGATAATGACGCAGCATACACTGCGTGGAAACCTTCAAGGGTCATTGTAGAATCAGAGACAAACCTCAGCGTCAGGGCATTGCTGAAGGAGACGATGGGATGGGGCATAGAGGTACCACAGTAACGTCCTAAATATAGATAATGACAAAGACGATTAATGAGGACGTGGCATAGGTCATTATCAATAGTAAACACATCTTTATGAGAATTGCAAGAGACCAAAGCAAACAAGAATTACTATTGAGAGAACCACTGGAATCAGGACCAATGCTTGAGACAATGCCCGAGAATTAAAAGCAAGCTATCAATACAAGCATAGAAGAGAGGATTTATAAACATAATAAACGGCGATAGGGGGATCACAGGAAAAACTCAGTGTCCTGGCTCCAAATGTAACTAAAGTTAAAATCTCTAGCACAGAAGGAAATCGCATGAAAAAACGTGCTAATACTTACAAGGCAATATACAGTAGCAGAAGAAAAAGGATGCTGGAGTCAGACAACCTGGATTGTACTTCCTGCTCTGTCATGTACTAACTCGGTGACCTGAGGCAAGTTACTTAAGTTCTCCCTGCCTCCGTTTTCCCAGTTGAAAAAAGAGGGCATTGAAATGATACATCTTACAAGGATACACAGAGGGAGGGAGTTACTATTTCCAATGTACTCAGCACAAGCCATGCAAGTGTTTGTTACGAAATGTACCCTCACCCTTGGTCAACTGCTTACTGACAAAGACCTCGGGCAACACAATAAAAGGTGTACACAGAATATTCATTGCACACTGCTGTCTCAGTCACTGTGAGGGCCCTGGGAAGAACTCAGAGAATTAGACAGGGTCGCTGCTGTGGTGGAGCTCGTCTGCTAGTGCAGGTTGAGATGCTTGTTTGACAAAACTCAAAAATGAACGAGCTCTTGGAGGAAAGTGACCTGATCTGGGACTATTTTGCTTGAGGACATTTCAGAAACCGGACAGCATTTTTGAATCTTTAATTTTACTGGGATGTCTTATCCAAAAAATGACAGATTTTACATGATATTTCATTTCATTATTTGCTTCGACTGAGGACGACAAAGATACACGCTCAATTGGAATATAAAACTGGTCAAATATGAGGAAGAAATCCCTGACAGAATGCTATCTAATGCTGGAATGGACTGCTTTCTACTACCATCTAAAACAGTTGCAATTTTTACATTTAAAATAAATATATACATATACTTGTACGTGTATACACACACACAAACACAACTCATGACTTAGAATAGAAACAAGGTTTCTGAACCCCAGGTTAAACCCTGCTTTCTGACCCTCTATCTTTACTTGGCTATGCTGCTATTTATATTTATTGGAAACAGTCTAACCTCAAATGGCAGCACATAAATATGTAGATATATAAATAAAACACAGCCCAGACCACAGATGGAAAAAAGCAGGCCCCACAGTACCTCGGAGGGGCGCGTCGTCGTCGCTGCCATCTAAAATTTCCAAAAAGTCACGCGTACACGCTATGCTGCTTTCCAGTGCAAAGTAGGTAAAGGAGAGGGTGATATGATTGACTGTAAGGAAAAGGAGGTTATTTAATAAAGTGTTAGCAAAGCAAGCACACTGTGAGACAAACTCCACCTGCAATAATGTTACACAGGGGTCTGGAGCAGGGATGTGGGCAGAGAGGGGAGGAGACAACTTCCCTTTCTACTTTCTCTTCCCTCCTAGACTGAAGGGTTTCCTTTGAAGAGTAAAAAGAATCCACATTTAAAAAAAAAAAAATGCCTGTAGAACCTGAAAAGCAAGTAATGGTAAATAAGAGGACTCTGGGTGATTTCATTTCAAACAATATGGGAATGTCTTGTTGGAAAATAGCATCTTTCTACATTTTTATATCAGTCATTTGATGTGTTCTTCAACAGAATAGTTTCACAATAGAATAGTTTCCTTAAATCCTGATTCTTTGCATGGGATTGTAAACAAGACATTCTTTCCTCCCGGGCATAGGCATCCTAGCACACTCAGTTTCATTTGAAGGCCAGAGCTAGGGCCCTAGAGGTTCAGAGCCATTTATAAAGAAAGCTTTGAATTACTTGCAGAACAGCAAGTGCCTGGGTATGGTTTCCTTTTGTTGTTCTTCCAGGGTCTCTAATCTTTAGAATAGGATCTTTTCCTGTTGCTGTTCTTGAACCAGTGAGATCTTTCATCTAAATGCTTTACAGCTCATTAGAAAATAATCCTTAGACACAAAACTGCTTGCCCAAGGCAGAGGGTGTGGGGGGAGTATTGTTTCTTTATCCAAGGGCTCAGTTTCTGGCTGGCTGGCAACTCTCTTTGGGGCTCCACACGCCCCCCCCCCCGGGCTCCACACGCCCCCCCCCCCCCTTCCGCAATTGGCTAAGGATTACATCACTGGCCCATATTTTACATGTCAATAAAGATACTACCAACTTGTTAACTCTTAACATCACTAGAGAAAGTGTCAGATAATATTTAAGCAGGAGTCTTCATTGTGTACTTTGCAGTGGGACTCTCCCTGCCCCCCATTAGCTTAAATGTCTTGCCCATTTTCACATGGTCATGTGTTACAAAAAGGAGTGAAGAATTTAATGGTTTTCCCATATAATGTCTGACTGAAATCCTAATGTTCTCCTGGAGCCTCAAGGGAGGACAGAGTTTATCTGGATAAGGATTCAAAATGGCCCTCGGATTACCCCTTTTGTAGCCATTCTGTTGTTCCTTAGGGGTCTTCTCATTTTCTCTCTCTGCAAATTGTGTAATCATTTCTATCAAAAAGTTACCAGGTCAAAAAATAAAATCCTAGAACTCCAAAGTAAATAAAGTAAGCTCCTATTCATGTTTTTTTTCCAGGATTGTGTTCGGATTTTTTAAATACATGATTTGCAGAAGAAACTGGTTTTAATCATTAGTTTCTACTTTGCTTGAAGATTGATAGGCTCACGGCACTGCATTCTCAAACGGAGTTACGAATTCTCCAGTGTATAGTTCTTAGTATTCATTTATTCATCTGGCAACTGTCTTGAGACACTACACTCAAGCACACATGTCAAAAGTCATTTATTTATCCATTAGTTTTGCTTACCCTCCATCTTACATGCCTGTCAATACAGCAAGGTTGTAAGTTTGTTGTGCGTATGTGTGTGTGATTTTCCTTTGCAAGGTCTTGAAACTAAAAAAAAAAAAGTAATTGAGATAAAAACAGTTAAAGTTACTTCCCTATCAGATTAGGAAGCTGCTGTTCTCCAGCACAGCAGGAACTGGGACCTTCAATTGTTACCGCTGAGAAGATAAGACCATTACTCACACACTGACTTTCCCACAGATGCCAACCTGTCCTGGAATCCTTTTCTATTTTATTTTTGTTACTTACATGGAGGTTGAGCTTGAATTATCCAGCTGCAGTTCTGCTTGTTTTGATACTTGGCCGGGAACAATGGAGAGGAAATGGTATCAAAAGAGCTGGTGAGGATGTGGCCTCCACAGGCTGGGGAACACACACACACACACACACACGTATGTCATATACTTTTGATTTCTACTGGCTGTATAAAACAATGATTTCATGAGTGAAAACATAAATGATTTTTTCTTATTCCTAAAAGCGTGCCAAGGAAGCTCATTGCTAAGGAAGCCCCATAGAAATCATGAGGAAATGGGGACACACTTTACATTTATAACAATATTCTTCAATTACAGGAAGTGGGAAAGTGACATCGAACAGCAAATTAAATGCCTATAAGTTGCCTGCATCATTCAAACAAAACTGAAGTTGATTCACTAACTTTGCATACTCATAAATTATAAGAGGGATAATCTCTTTATAAATAAATACTCGGTGGAGCTAGACTCCATAAGGATGGCTGTACACTGTAGAAGTGCAGATGCCTGTGGGAGAGGGAGGAAGAGGGAGAGGCTGCTGCTGGAGAATATTCAGAGGACTCTCATGGAAGAGGTAGAGGCTGCACCAGGACTTGGAGGGTGAGGAAGGATAAGGAAAGGTGGCAACCTGAGCAAAGGCTCAGAGAGAGCTAAGGGCTACATCTTCACAGACTTAGCTGAAGTGTGTACTTGAAGGGTGTTGAGGTGATGCTGTAAAGAGATTACGGTAGGTTCTGGGACTCTTGGGTAATACTTGAAGGGGCTTAAGCTTCATTCTCAAGGCAGTGTGAAGACAAGACAGACATTAGAGCACTCAATGATATGATCAGAGTGGACTTTGGCAACCTTTTTTATTTGAAATCACAAAAAGTAAGATAGACAGATCTTCTGTCTTATTCCAAAGTCTACAGTGTGTCTTTGGGAGACCTTAATTCTGAAACCTTCCCCACCCAGGCTCTTTACTATGAGCACAAGCAAGTCCACTGAAAGAGACATAATGATTAAACACATTAAACTTATTGGAAGTAAATGATCTGAAATGACGTGATCATCTGAATATAAATCATAGCCATATTTAAGGTGACCTATAACTCCTCCAGCTCTGGGCTCTATCTCTGGCAGTAAAATAAAAGGTTAATCTCTGAGCATGCCCAGTTGAAAGGCAATGGGTCAAAAAGTCTTGGAGGAAAAATTGAGAAGTGGTGATTTAAGAACAAAGACAACAGAAAACAACACTGACTTCTCAGTTGGACAATGGCAGGATTTAGAAATGAGGGAAACCATTACTTCCAAGGCTTAGAATTTGACTTCGCATTCGTAAGGTATATAATTCATACTGGTGTATCTCCTGGTGTAATACTTAAATAGATGCTGGATAAGTAAATTTGATAAAGTTTTTTATACTGTCTCCAGTATTAAGGGCATTTTAAGTAATATTCTGAAAACTGAGAATTCACAGTATGTTTGGGAGATATATAGGTCCTACAGAAGTCAATATCACAGTTAGAAAGGATAAGGTTAAAAGTGTCAGCGTTGGACTAATTCTAAGTCACAGTTCACTTGTACTATTTAAAATTTTGTAAGTTAAGCAGAAAGCTACAGTCAATCTCTGAGTACTAACTTACTGTACTTTATAAGCACCAGGAAGGGCACTTAAGAGGATTTCTCTGCTCTGGAAGACCCACAGGGTACTTGCCTTGTTTGAATTGAGCTCGGAAACCCCTGCTCTGTCTCGAAGGGCCAGACTGAAATCTCACAAAGAGGCTGTTTCCTGAAGAGGTGATGGGGTTAGTTAGCTGCTGTCTTCCACACACAGTGGCAAGGCGGGTGGTTGCAGAGGTTAAGCCATCAAATGCCTACAAAAAAAAAAAAAAAAAAAAACAGAAAAAACAATGGTTCAGAGCTACCAATTTACGTCTGTAAGGGCTCTGTTCCATGGACTACCTATACGTTGATGAGCTAGTGGAAAGCCACGTATTTTCTGGATCTAGTGAAATTGGCCTTATTGTATTGTCATACAGTTCTTTGGCTACGTCAGAGTCTTTGGTCATTTCTAGAGATACAATGCTTCTACAGACGGCAGTGAGAGGTTCTCGGCCAGAGCTACTATTAGACATTATAAATGCCATTCCCTTCACAGTCTCTTTCCTTCCCTCACCCCAGTGTAATCACATAATAGCCTGTGCCCACAACCTGTGATGAAAATTCTTGATGCAAGAATAAATAAAAAATAATGATGAGTAACTATTCATTGCCAGAAAGTGAACATTTACTAAAATTTTTTGTTCTTCATAGGGTCAAAAAGCCAGAAATTATTTCAAAATTCAAATAATTTGAGTGATATAAGCATGATTAAGAAAATTATCTTATTATTCTATTTAAAATGTATTGGGCTCCTTCTCTACCCAATGCACTGCAGGGACCTAGCTAACCCTTTATATATACAAGTCAAAGTAATAGAGTTTACATCACATATATCCAAAATTTCTGTATTGGTTTATGAAGATGAAGCTTACTCAGTTGCTTGGATCTCAGTCTAGTGTGAATTTTTGAAAGCTCTCCTATATAAGCCAGGGGAAAATAAGTCCCTTTCTTCAGATGGTAATAATAATAGCTACCTTTCATTTATCTAATGCTTACTATGTGCCAGGAACTGATTTAGCCCTTTACAAACACTGACTCATTTTATCCGAGCAACTTTCTTCCTATTTTTGGAAGAGGACAATAGATGCACGGAAAGCATAAGTAATGCAGCCAGTTCCTAAGAGGGAGCAGGTCTCACTGAACCAGACAGCTAGATTAGAGAATATGAAATGAAAACTCATTTGGTTCAGTAAAAGGTATCAATTGAGCAGCATGGATGTATCATTATAGTTTGGATAATGGTTTGTCCCCCAAAGGTTCATGTTTGGAATTTGTTCTTAGTGTATAGCAATTGGATCTATTAACTGAAGACACCAGTCTCATGAATAGATTGATGCTGTCTCTTGAGAGAACTGCGTTTTAATGCTTATGAGAAGGGATTAATTCTACAGAGGGCAGATTGCTATAAAAGCTAGAGAGAGCTTTCTCTTTGCATGCACCTGCCAATCTGTTTGCTCCTGTTAGTTATGTTCCAGCAACCAGAACTATGAGTCAATAAACCTCTATTTCTTTACCCAGTCTCAGGTATTTTTGTAAGCAACACAGTAATAGACTAAGACATGCATCAACCTACCAACTACCAGAGCGAGACTGAAAGTGTGAAGTTAAAATATGGCTGTATCATTTGAAATAAATTGCCATTTATGCTTCAAAAGAAAATGTTTGGGGAAAATTAGAAATTCAGAGATTTAATATGAGGAAGGTAGTCATAAGCCATTTCAAATATCTAATGATGATCATCTGTTCATTGTAGCACATAAGTGTAATTGGGAGGTTATTCTCAGTTTGATTTATACAAACACATGAATCAGAATCAATGTGATTTTGAAATCTCTAAGGCAGGGGCTAAAGCTTTTAAATAAATTTTAAATAAAGATATATTTAATTTTTAAAAATAAAAACCAGCATTGTGAGAGGAGGTGGAGGTGGGAGGTGTGTGTAGTCATTGAACCCAACCCCGAGGCCCAGCATATTAAAACACATGATATATTATGTGTTGTTGGGGCTCCTCCACACTCTGAATTCTAGCCAAAACTGAGCCAAAAACTTAGGAATTTTTATACATGCTGCTTCAATACCCTGAAGATATTTTGATTAACATCAATCCATTTCCAATGTTAATACATGTCAACTTTGTCACATGTCAATGACATGAGGAGGGAAACTATTCAGGTGAAAGACAAAACTCTCTTCTGATGACATTTGTAGTTCTGGAGACATCTGTTCAGAGTCCTAAGGAACAGAAACTTGAAAGAAAAAGGGAGCCAAGAAAAGGGATTCTTTCATCTTACCATACATACCCTTATGATGTAAATATGTATTATTTAAAAATATGTATTGTTAAAAGTTGGCAGAAGAATTCCTTTTAGAGGGGAAAAAAAGTACTTTGATACAGCAGAACACCATAGGCTCTCAGAACACGAGTACAATAGGGGAGCTGTCATCTGATGTTATTGAGGACAAGTTGTCCAGTTTCCTAATCTGATGATCACCTTCCTATTTTACAAAATGAGATTTACACAAGTATATAGCTCATATGGTTCATGAGAATTAAATGAGTTAAAAAATAATAAGCACTTAAGAGAGTTCCTGGTGCACACTAAGTATATAATAGATATTAGCCTCTACTATTACAGTGAGACTATTGAATTGCTCATTGCTTTATAGCAAATAAACTAAGATTTTTTTTGGGGGGGGGAGGTTTTTGCTATAGTTTTTCTGCACTTGCAAGAAAGACAGAGACAGAGAACCAGAAAGAGAGAAATGACCCCCCAGGGGAGATGGCCACACCACAATCCCTTCTCCTCCATTCTCCTCTCAGGATCCTGGGCATGCATGCACATGTGCCCGGCATGAGTTTAAGCCACCAGGTCTGGAACTCAAACTGCAGCTGACTACATGGGAGTTCAGTGATGTAGCCATTAAGCCAACTGCTGGTCCGTCCCAAGATTTTAATAGTTCGTAGTTACATTATAATATTAAAAGCAGCATTAATGTCTTATTTTTTCTTTATCTTACCATTTTTTATGAAGATCATGCAGAGTTTATAAATAAACCTATATTAAAGTATTTTAAGCATTTAGCTCTTCAGACATGTGTTTGCATGCAGACATGAAAGTGTATTATTCATGTAACAGTACCACAGTATCTAAGCCAGATGACTATTAATGCCATTTAATCTAGCCTCTTGCTGCCTGACAAGAATGTATCGAGTTTAACTGATATGGCTTCTGTTTTAAGATCTCCAAAACATTTGTTAGTTGACTAACATCTGTAACTATACCCTAGCCTTCTCTCCTAAGCTCCAGCCTCATATAGCCAACTGCATACCAGACATTATCTCCCCTGTGTCCCATAAACTTGAAAACTGGCATGTCAAGCTGAATTTATCTAGTCCCCCTTATTCCTCCTTCACCTACCTCTCTTGCATCAGAACATGACAGAACTATGCACCCAACTGCCAAACCATCTTAGATCTCTCCCCTACCCCTCAATAAAATGGATCAGTATTTTTTGGAGAATTCTCTCACCAGTGGATTGCTTGGTTCCTCTCCACTTACCCTCATTGCCCCATCTGGGTATCTCAGGTGGGATCTCATCCCATCTTGCGTAGGTCACTATTGAAGCCTGAAATTTCCTCTTCTATTCAGTCTACAAACAACTACCATAGTGCAGTATGCTTTCTAAAATGCAAAGTCAATACAGAAGGAAAGCTGAGTATCCCAACACTAAATTAAAAAGATCAGTCACTGATGCTTTGCTAAGCACTCAAGGGCTTATGGTTGATGCAGAAGCAGGCACAGCCCTTCGGCTGACTGACTAGATGGCTCATGATCACCTGACTGCAATGTCAGCCATCACTAACAGTCAGACCTCGTGACTAAGGAGGAGAAATGAATTTTAGCTCAGTAACACTTGTATTTTTATTTCTAAAAATGGAAATACACTGCTGGAGAGTGGGAAATGGGAAACGGTTTCCACTGCATCTCCTATCTTCTTGTTTTGCTAAGTTTCATCATAATCAGGGAGTGTGTACTCAAATGATTACAAATCAGAGAAAGAAGAAAGTATTTAATACAAAAGCAAAACACATAGCATATTTTATAATACTCCAAATGTGAAAACAATATGAAGTTCAGTTTTTTTCTGCAAAGAAATTATTACTATATGTGGATATGGTTTTATTTTCATTTTATGTACTATTACTTTTTTCCTTCTTGTGAATCTTCTAGAAGGTATCAAAATAATACACTTATTAAGTGATAAAATATAAGGTAGTATATTGAAGAATGTGTGAAAAATTATAATATAGTATTTGTTTTAAAAACTTTCAGTATAAATATATTTTAAAAGAAAATGGAGGCTAGTCATGAATTAATAATGATAGTAAGCAATGAACTGAGGATTAGTATTCAGTTCTGTGTACATGTGTTATAATTCTTAAAAAGATAACTTAAGAACTTCAATAAAGTATTAATAGGAACAATAGGAGCAATTGTAGCAGAAGTAATAGAAAAATTAGGAGTATATGCTAATATTTATCTATACCAGGCTGATGAATACTATATATGTAGGCATACTTTAGAGAGAGATTTTTTGCTATAGGGACAGAAAGTGAGAAATCACCCCCAGGAGAGATGGCCATATCACAATCTCTTCTCCTCCATTCTCCTTTCAGGATCTTGGGTACCACACACCTACACACACACACACACCCAGCATGAGATTTAAGCTACCGGATCCAGGACTTGAACCATAGTCAACTATGTAGAGTCTAGAGACATAACCATTACTCCATCTACTGGTCCCCTAAATAAGTCAGTTCATGTTATAGTTTCATTTTGTAGTTGGGAAAATGGCAAAAAATACAAGTGACTTGCCCCATGGTAACATACTCAGAGGTTCAGAGTTAGTATAAACATCTGTCTAATATATGATCAGTTATCATTAAACCAAGAGAAAGGGTAAAATCAAGGTTTATTCATTCAATTTGAATACTGAGAGACCATGATTCTATGACACAAAATGAGATGTCCATGCTAAGTGAGATGCTAAGTGAGAGGTGTTCTTTCTCCTAGAGAAATACATGTGGTGGGCCAGCCAGTGACCCGGTGGTTAACGTGGCTTGATCCTACAGGGCCAATGGCATGGTTCTAGCCCAGGACATGGCAGCTTGAAAAACATGCCAGGAATGTGTGTATGTGTGCCCAAA